AAAAAAAAACCTGAATATATGTTAGTGAAACAATTTCGAAGATCTGTAAGCGTTTATGATATATTTTTTAAAGATTCTAACTTGGTAACTTTCTGTGTACAGGGCCATATCAAATGGCCTTTTTCCGAGCAAAACACAAACAATGACATTAAAATAAATGTAAATCAATAAACTAAAGCATAAAACATTTATCATTGAAAAGGTTAGGCAACTATTGTACATGACATAGATAGGCTACGGTCCTTATTGATTGATTGCTCCTTTAATACATAATCATCACAAATAATTGTAGCTATAAATATTTTATTTTTGCCGAGTAAAATACAATGAAATAAAGAAAAACGAAATAATCCATAAAAAACGGTTAGATTGAGTCTGCTTATTTGGTGGCAATGGAAAGTGTACGCTACTGTCCTAGGACTGCACGCCCTAGCATCGGCCTAAGCACAATGCAACATTTAAGACAACACAATCGCGAAACTTTGATTTTTAGAAAACATCAGATGGCGGTAAAGTGAAGTCATTATATAAATAACACATATAATTCGTCTTGTGAGTAACATTAAAACACTACACCGGGGAAAATACCCGAGACGTATTGTTTTCAATTTTAACCGCCTCCGTGGTCGACGGGTTAGAGTCGATGACTTCTTATCCAGTTACCTCTCTGGCGTGGGTTCGATCCCCTGGAGATGCTTTTGTAGTTTAGCGCGGGGGGAGGTAGTCCAGTACTGGTGTAACTCTCCAGGAACGATGGTTAGGAAACTACCCGCCTATATGGCTGAAATACTGTTGGTAAAAGGCGTAAACAGACAAACAAACAAACAAATTTTCAATTTTCTTCAAATTTCCCACCTTTTTTGTTGTTGATTCTTCAAAGGGAGATTTTTGTTCATATGATATTTTCTTTTACTTTCCTTGGGAATTATTTCCCTTTAATTGCTTACTTGATATACAACGCCAGATTTGTTAATAACATGAGAACATCGTCAAATGTTAAACATTTGTTTCAAAACAAACTGGACGCATCGTCAGATCATTATCAACTTTGTTTGACAAAAAATACGCAAATAGGAACTTGAATCTTTTTTTGTTTTATTTAGAGCTTTCATATACGTTAATTTTGCAGATGAATGAAGATAAAATTGATGATGTACATAAAATTGTGAAATTAATGACCGATCTATCAAAAATGTCGAAGGCAGACAACACAAAATGGAAATACAATGAAGGATTATAATAGAATGTTGTATAATATATTTTTATTGCACATTCAACTTACAAATTTCATAAACATGTTACAAAAAAGCATTTTGTTGAAGTCAACAACAATGCAATACATACATTATATTCGTATACATATATGTCTTTATATCTAAACCTATATTTACAATCTTTCAAGAGTCGAACAATTTTTTTTCATGTTCATTTAGATTGTCTTTTCATATATTTTACAAGCCGATGTTAAATATTCAGTAAAGTTGAAATTGTAGTAGTAACCCTACATGTATTTTTTGTTTACATATAAAGATTATAAGAATGAAAATTTATTTAATTGTAAAATATTATTTATGACCCTAACAAAATGATCGAATTGTTTGTATGAGCACAAGTATTTTGATAATATAATTAAAAAAAATATATAAAACAAATAAATTGAAGGCTATTTTTACCATAGTCGCAAACTATAGGATGAACATTGCGTTTCCACCTACCGAGTCTGCAATTTCCTTTTAATTTTGTTGTGATTGATGCTTCAGAGGTATCACACTTTATCCACATGTTTTTCACATAAAGATCAAAGATTATTTTCTTCTTCTCTCATATTATTCGGCAAAACGTTTGTGGGTCAAATTCTATGACCAAAGCTATTATGTAGCATTGTATATAAGACTCTTTAAAACTCTTAACACCCAAAACTCTATTTTATTTTTATTCATTTTTTTGATTTGTAAAATATTTGCTCTTTTGTTATATGAGTTATTGATCCACCCTCATGAACTATTTCATTTGTGTACAATAACAATTATTTTAGTACCATTGTACGCTACTCTTCCCTTAAACATTTATTTTCATAAGTGATATCAAAGATAACTGACAAAGAGTCCTCAAAACTTTGGAATACACAACCGATAAAAACGTTTATACAAATACATTAATTTAATCAAATACGATTATAAAGTCCACTATAACAAAATAATAAAAACTTGCACGACATATTCATCGAAATGTAATAATGCTATTATGAAAGTTTCTTGATCAGGAACTTGTATTTGACTAGAACTGATTTTAATAAGATTGGATCTCACGTGGTAAGGTAGCGCCAAGTGTGATCTATTTCAGTCAAAGCCAAAAGAGCCATAAACAAGTAATAGACAAAGATACTACTATAATAATCCTTCAATTCCATACCTTGCTTAAACTTTATACATTTAACCATAACGTAATTATAGTAATCTCGATCACACATATACATAAATATAGAAATTAAATCACAGTTCAAACATGATAGATGTTTCTTGTGCAGTGTTGACATAAAGGAATATAATAATATCTAAGAAATAACTACAACGTCTTTATTTTTAATGATTTTGGTAGCGCTTTCAATGCTTGTTGTTATATTAAGAAATATGTATCAACAACATCAATAACAACAACGACAAAATATCAACAATAAGAAAATCCCACTATTTATAGCCATGTAATTTACACATAAAGCTATGAAGATTGTTATCATTCCATGTGGCCTATGATGTGTTTTTAATTTTGAATAATTTGTTTTTTTTATTATCAAAGCATCGAAATTAATCTCTTAACTGCCCTGATAAATATATTTGATCTTTTAATTTTGAATGAGTTTCATTTCCTTTTTAATATCAAACCATCAAATAATTTTTTTATGATAATTTGTTGGTTTCTTGCAATAAGAAACTCTCGTGCATACATTATATTACATCTCTTGATCCATTACACTGACTAAATAATCACACAGACTCAATAATATGTCCTGTATGCAATGATTGTGCGTATGTATTTTTTTTATAAAATGTACTTGTTATAAGCGTTTTGTTATGTATTATGCAATTTGTACTTTTCGTTTAAAAAACAAGAACAAAAAACCAGTTGTTTAATGGAAAGTTTCAAGTCGGTGCTAGTTGTAAAAGAGATATGAAACTTTCCCTCCCTCCCTCTCTCCCTCCCTCTTTCTCTCTCTCTCTCTGTCTCTCTCTGTCTCTCTCTCTCTCTCTCTCTCTCTCTCTGGGACCTATCTTTTTCAGAATTCTGATGACATCATTGCATTTTGTATTATTTCAGGCACGATTGAGCACCCGAATCCAAAATCTCTTGATGGAATCGAACGGTGAGCGGCAAATGGTTTTCTGATTTTCTGTTTTAACACCTTTACCGCTGGTTCACGTAGCATTGTATCAGGTACATAAAGCACATATTCTTAAAATATTACGTCTATAATATTTTGTATGAAATCATTGAGCCTGATGTAATAATGGATTTTACATGAACATCTGTATTCCACATGCGTGAAATCAGACAATATGATAGTAAAAACGGTATCTCCAAAGAACGCTCACACGTCAAAATTGAAAATGTGCTGACTCGGTTTGATTCCGCTTGTTTATGGACGGCACTGTCAGTACCTGTACTATCCAAGCCCATAGCACTGGCTACTGCAGAATTCAGCATTTAGACAAGAAAAGTGGTGAAATTTTGAATTAAGAAACATCCGCAGATTTGTTCATACAACAACCATACAACAACCATAAATATGTTGAAATTTCAGTTATTTCTTCTAAGCTTCATAACAGTTATCTTGAGTGAGTAGTATTGACCCCAACATCCGGCCCAAATTATACCGTGACCGTATTCTTTGTGTGCACCGTTCAAGTACAAACCATTTAGATTCGCCTTGTGGCGTGCGTTGTTCCACCAAGCTCCTTTATATGCTACTACACAGTTGTCGTCCCTGGCGTCGTTATCACTATCTTTGGTTGTAAATTGACAACCATTATGAAACCACATGGAATCGGTGCACGAGCCTTCATAGCCGCCAACTGTCAATCTGTAATTATCATTCTCATCATTAACTCTGAAGATGGAGAATTCTGCAAAAGCAGAAAACGGATTCATATTGTCATTCTGAAACGTTTCCATGTATATATAAAGTGAATTGTTGTTTTTTGTTAAATAGTAAATGTTTTCAAGTCCCAGCCAATACTCGCCAACTCTGTTGCCAAATCCATTTTATATTCTTCCCATCCTCTGTAAAAATCTTCTGATCTATCTTGTCGACGTTGTATTACCGTCCAACCACCGTTGGACATGTCGCACCAAACATTTGTAGCAGATGTATTTTCCACTGGTTTGATCACATACACACCGTCGTCGGCGTAACCTTGTTTGTTTGTTTGTGTGTTTGTTTGGATTTTACGGCACGTCAACACATAAATGGCCATATCGTGCCGAATGCTATAATAGGCTTAAAATATTATGTAAAACTTTGTAAATGATAATAAAAAAAGAGCCAGTTAGATCCTTGAATACAAGTTTATCTCTTTCAAATAATCGATTATGTTTTTGATGGAATTGTATTAAAGAGTTTTTTGAGTGAATTTACATTATAAAATCTATTACGGGCCTGTGAAAAATCATGACATTCCAGAAGAAAATGCTTGACAGTAAAATGTTCATTGCAAGCTACACAGAAAGGGGCATTGTCATTCGTGAGGAGATAAGAATGGGTAACTTTAGTGTGTCCAGTTTGGCATCGAAGAAGAACTGTTTGATCACGGCGGTTTGACAAAGACAGAGATGGTGACTCATCAAGAGATGGGTTTATATCATGAAGTTTATTAAAGACGGCATTTTCCCAATTTGCTTTCCATTCAGATGAAACGAGTTTATTTATAGCCGTTCTAAAATCACAAGCAGGTAACAATAAGTCAGTTTTTTGAAAATTTAATGATTGTTTAGCTAAAGCATCTACTTTGTCATTTCCTCGTATACCTACATGACTTGGAATCCAATATAATTGTTGATGAAGCGCAAGGCAGTCAGTTGGCTCTGGTTGCTAATGTATTCGTGTCACTTTTTGATTGTCCTCCTGTTAAAAATAAAGAAAGTTGAAAAAAGATATCCGAGCAGTTGGAATCCCTCTTATAACAATATATTGCATCGACAAATTTATTATGTTTTTACATAAGGTCACTGAGAACAATTATATCAATTTTACCCTTTTCCTGCTGAATACCATAAAAGACTTTTCCCTCTTTTAGTCTGAACAAAACCATTAACAAAGATTTTCAAAATATACAATTTATACATTTTTGTAGTAGTATAAAGTCACTGATAAAAAGTGACAGATATATTGCATACAATGTTCGTACTTTCGATATTCTAGTAATTTGTGATAGCATTAAAATATCCAACACGGATAATAAAATTAATGAATTGTCAGTAAAATATGAAATACTATATTTTAATCAATTGCTTAACAATATTCACTGATAACTCAAAACACATTAATATTAATGTTTGCTCGTTCAGTTCGTTCTCTCGTTAAAACCTCAATATTTTTATAGTTATTGACAGCTAACCAATCTCGTGGTATTGAATATATTGAATAAATGTTAACAAAGCAATGTCAATATATGTACACAATCTTAGGTAATGAATAAAGAATGACTACTACTTCTTGCTAGAATGTATGTTTTTTGTCTCTTTTTCTTTTCTTGTACGATAGATTATATCTGCGCCCACATCCTCAATGCTTACTATATCATTTTCAACCAATGAATGCACAAAGACATGTTGAATTATGTGCTATAAAATAAAACGATGACCAGTCCAACTTTTGACACTTGAAAGTGCATGACATCAAAGACTTGTCTTCTATTGCAATAACATATTCACCCAATTGCGGAGCGTAAGTTGTTTTTTCTAGCTCGTATGTCGATATTACTCTTTCATTTGCAAAAATTTGTACAATTGAAACAGCTTGAATTATAGCAAGAAACGTTTATATTGATTTTGTTTTAAAAGAAACAAATTCCATTTCGTTCCAAGTTAAACCAGGACAAGCCATTTGACCATGCGCTTTAGATTTAAACGGGCTAGTTCAATTACAGTTAATAAACAATAAGAGTCCGTTGTATAACATTACGTTTTGTTGTTATGAATACATCATACCAGATATGCAACAATTCCGTCAATGGATTGTTTTTTTCTTATTGTTGTTATAATGTTGCTTGGTCACTTGGAAAATAAATGGAATGATTTAAAAGAGAGAATTGAATGTGTTATCGATGTATTGTCAAATTGAATATGATCCGTCATGAAAGCGTGGTATTTTTATACCTTGAATATTAACAACTTTAAAATTACTGAATAAATCAATTTCTTTAGTAAAATGTTTTCAATGCCTGTTCAGATTATGCAATGGTTTGGAACTTTGGATATTGAATAAAATATGAGTAACTACTCTTTTTATTTCTTTTTTCGTTTTGTTAATTAATGCAGAAATTCAACTGAAACATTTTAAAGTTGAGATACCTGTTGATTTCATAATCCAACAAAGACTACATACAAAACATGATAATTGTATGCATGTATATTGTCGGTTTTACAGGTTAAAACACATTTGCCACTGTAATACAAATGTGCTATTGTTTATGTCGGTGATAGCTGCTTTCCGAAAACAAAATAAATAATTTATTCACTAATCAAATCACCATATACGGCACATACACAATATTTATTTAACTTTATATATGTGAATATTGGTTATATAAAACAATGCAAGATGCAATAAATGCGAGATAAGGGAATTGGAAATCGTGATGAGACTGATAGACATTTGTGGGTCCCCCTGCTCATCAGGCTTGGCAGGGTCAGAGATTTGGAATGGTCGGCGGGCCTGGATGGCCCTTCTTGCATTCCTTCTTTGCGCGGAAATCTTCTTCTTTGGATTCATTCTAGTATGATGCAGCAAAAAATTTTTATCTGTGATATGCAGGCTTCATAACCTCTGATCCCCTTTCGGAATTCCATTTTATTTAGTTCCGCCCATTGTTTTCTTGTTAAGGGCACATGCATTTTTTTTACTTGGGGACCATATGCCGCTTTTTATGGAATGGCACTTACGTGTCACATTGAAGGTTCCATGATAACCGCCATATGAACACAGCTGCGGATGTTTCTAAATTCCAAATTGTGCCAGTTCATGTTAAATGTTGAATTCTGCTTAAGCCGGTGCTAGGGGGCGTGGACGTAAGTTTACACTTGACAGTACCGTCCATGAACAGGTTCAATCAAACCGAGCCTGCTAATTTTCAATTTTTCCGTGTGGTTTTTTTATAAAATTTTATTTCTATTCAGGGGAACACCGAAGGGCCGAGGTAATCTTTTAAACTCAGGTTAGTTGGTTTTTTGTAGGGGTTTAACGGTTGGTTACCGTAAAAGCCGTGTGTTCTCTGTGAGAGGGGACTTTATACATCACGTTATTTTTTTTTATGAATTGATCGTCCAGACAATTTGTGGATTTTTTCGTCAGACTTATTCCCCTATAAAACCGAAAAATTGTATTACTATTTATTATTATTGAAAAATGTAAATTTTTTCAGTATGTTAAACGCCCTTTGAAAATCTTTCAGCGTTTTTGTATTTTTGATATTTAATCTTATTTTGAAAAATTGGAAAAAAGAGAAGCAAAATATTTATATTCAACCATAACAGTTTTAAATTACAGTTATTTCAACTCGTGAGCCATGACCTTAACAGTGTTTATTGAATTATAATTCAACAATAATAATAATAATAAGTAGTACTAATACATAATAAACACTGTTTTTATAAGCGGTCATGCCCTCATACTTACTTGAACAAATTTTATTCCAGAGTATTGTCACAGCATTTAAAATTATTTTAAATCTAGAATACATCTGCAAGATATTTTTGCTTAAATGACATGTTCTTGTATTTCTTACTACTTCGTGTACATGTGAATATATCACAAGAAATCGAAGCAATGATTAACGATAGGCCCTTGACATTATGTTGTGTTCTGGTGTAATTCAGATGAACCGGGAAATACTCGCACCATCAACTTATTTATCGGAGACGGAATAACCCAAACTCCCTTATGAGGATGTCCTTACATGTACATTCCCTCCGCCAAGTGGCCGTTCGTAAGTTATAAAACAGGGTACGATACAAAGTAAACCACTTCCGGAATAGATGGCGTCACGAATACATGACAGCTTTATGAGCTTTATGAGAACGTCTACAGGCAAAAATAACCACACTATATCCGTTGGTGACGTTGTATTAGTCCACGACGATGTTCCCCGCTTATTATGGAAACTTGCTGCTTTTGAAGAACTCGTGACGGGAAAAGATGGATTTATTCGAAGTGCTTAAATTTGAACTCAAAATGGACTTACAAATCGTGCAATTGTACACCCCCTCGAAATGTATTAAACTAAAATTTCAAAGGAAAAGTGATACATGAATGAGAGACTGAATTCAATATATTTATGACTGTTTCTTAATTAATAATACTTTATATGAGACTATAGCAAATGTAATGTTCAAATAACGGATTAATTACTAAACTTTAAATGAAATCTCGCGTCCCGAGTATGTCAAGAATTGATAACGTCATTTATAGCGCCTTGCATAATGTGACGTTCCTCGCTTACGTTAACGTCTTTTCCGACTTTACATTGTATTGTTGTTTACATTATACAGTGAGTTGTAAGTGATTTACCGTCATTTCAACGGTTAAATGTTGTAGCATTGTTACTCGAATTCCGTTTCTCTCGAAGTAAAATGCCCAGTCCCTTGGATTTCGAGTTACCGAGAGTCAACTGTATATGATTGTTGATCAGTTAAGGTCAAATCTGGAAACTACAACCTATTTTGTCTATTTATTTCACACCTCCACACGCTTAATGGTTAATTTTAGTAAACTAAGCTTGTCCACGCTACAACTCAAGTACCGCAGGGGAATTTATAGTATCTTGATTTTTTAATAAATTAACTTGGCATTCCTTCATCTCTAAAACTACTTGAGAAATGTCAGTGAAAAAAATTGTGTCATGATTTTCCAAGTCTATTTGTGAATTGTGACATAATTTTGTGCATGATTTTTTTTGCACACTTATGGGCCCTTGATGATCTTTTTCTTGTGAAATTTGTTTAGACTATTTCTCCTACACTTCTAAATGAAATTTCAATTGAATTTTAGGAATGATATTTCACAAAGGCGGCCGGGCGTATATGACCAGTATTTTGGCATATTTTGCGGGTTTCATGTCCAAACTTCTTTTCGGGGGCATACTTCTTTTAGTGGCAGCATTTATTGAAAAGCTATAATGTATGGGGTAGAGTCGTATAAGCAATTCTTGAATACCTTTATAATGTTATTCTACAAGATACGGGTATTTTACAGTTCAACTAAATATTGATCTTGATCCTAAAATTGATCCATATTTCGATGCGATTATTTCTTATTTTGTTTGTTATTCTTCGATTTTATCTAAAAATAGTGTTGTTTATTGGCAAATCACCATTTTTTACATTTTAAATGTGTACCATTTAATTCAAGCAAAATCAACAATTTTAATTTTCATGAAACAATGTCAATAAAATCAGTATCATTTTATCCTGATACTGATCTTTTTTAGCGATTACAAGGCCAGTATTATCGATGATTTGGAACATAAAAAATATCGTTCGCTTAGATGATTCAGTTACGTATCATGCTTAGAGATAATGTTGCCTTAAACCATCATGTCAATTTATAATTCATAACTTACCACTATTTTATCAATCTTAGGATCGTGATGAGTATAAATTACTATTATTGTTGATTTTTTGCATTGAGTTCAAATGGACAAACTGAGCATAATTATATTTTCTAAAGGTATCATATTTGATTGGATTATACTTTTCTATGTCATAACATAAACGTTACTATTGAAAAAGTACTTACAGCTTGTGCATAAATTAGTGCACAGTTTCAGGTAAGCAGGTTTTTGTCAATAAAAATGAAAACAATATAAATTGTCCAAGCCGGTTTTATTTCAAATAATGTTAAAGTTTAAAACACAGAGCTTTTTTATCCTTGAATCTAAGCATACATGCATGGCTATATTTATTTGATTTATTTTTGAAAAATCTTTTAACGTTCAAACTTCATATCTAAATTAATTAATGAAATACAAACATAACAAAGTATAAACAAGTCTGTTTGAAATACGGGGAACTTTTGTCAAACGAATTGTGGGCAATATTTTCTCGACAAGGTTCGCTTATCATGAACTTTTTTCAACACTTGCAGGCACGAAATCAAACATTTTTCAATACCTTGTAACAGTAAACATACCTTTATAATTTCTTTTGAGACGAATTTACAGATGTTTTTCCGGATACTTATAAAAAATATGAACATTTCTATAAATTAAAATGAAGTATTTTATTCATCAGACAAATAAATCATGACGTCATCTACATCTGCTGAACATTGTTTTTAATCAAATCGTATATACCAAGTAGTATGGGTACAAAGCCTGGAAAAAACGATGTTTGTTTCCATCTTTTGGAAGCAGACACATTCAGTTACCAAATACGCATCTAATCATTGATAATCGAACGTTATATATATATATATATTTTAAATTAAATACCATTGTAAGATTAAATTGAAAGAACTTCCAACAATATATGTACCATTATCAATGCTGCTCAACTCAGAATGTTCTTTTTTCTCACTTTATAAGTAAATGTTTTTTATTTGCTTTGTAATAGTATATGAAACGAGTTAGTTACGAGGATATAACACTGGCTCGGGCGACATTAAGGGGTGTTACTGCTAAAAATGTCTAGACGGTCAGGCCGAGAAAATTTGTTTGCAGAAACATCCCCGTTACTAACTGTTTTATCGCATTTTCATTTCTTTGTAATAGAAATCTGAAAAAAAAAGAAAAAGAAAAACGTGCATTACTCTCTTTTGTGCCCCTTCACTTCTTCACCTTCTGAAAGTGTACTGAGTATAATGAGTTAGTAAGAACAAAGAAAAGTTCCAAACATGCAATAAGTATGGTTTAGCGGTATTAACCTGAGACATTTGAGTATTCAATGACCTTTTGTCGGTAATTATCGATTTCCGAAGTAAATGTTACGGATTTTAAAGTACAGCATAATGGTTCACATGGTTTATTTATGACTTAAAGTTACTAACACAACACATGCCTGGCTAGCCTCTGTGACAAAAAGTTAAGATTTTTACTTTCAAATTGTAGGTGACAATCTCAATTAAACATTATTTTTTCTATTTTCTTTTTCGTAGTTTTCAAAACTCAAATATTATGTTTTCGGGCATACAAATCACCTATTGTGCGACTTTAAATATGGGGATCATGACTACTTACATAGTTATGCATTTATGTATCAAAGTTATGAAAAAAGACACCAGAAAGTAAACAAATTATTCATCTAATTTTGCATATGATTAAAAATAATTAGTTTGGGAAAAATGACGTGGATTTTAACTTGAAATTGCGTGACTGTTATGCCATAATACTAACAACTAGGCCATCGGGCCGTATGTATGATTAAATGTATCGAGTACTATATGCTATCATTAAAATCAATTTTTTAATTGTAATAAATTACGGAATCTAACAAAAAAGCTTCCGAAAATTTTTCAGTCTCAGGTGAATATTGCCAAACAGTACTTTTAGAGTTTTATCGTTTTGATATATATTGCAGGTTTTGACTTAAAAATTAACAAAATGATGTACATGTACAATAATTTCTATCCAAAGGACCGTCATGTGCTTTGAATATTGAAACAATTAATTTCATATTCAGTGAAAGGTTTTATTATCAGAAATTTGATACATGTTATGCAAGTATTTGTTCAAAGAAATATATACTGTATAAAGTGAGAAAAGAAAAGACGAAAAAAAAAATTCTGGAAAGTATTTAAAAGGACTTGTAAATCACATGACATGTTAAATACATGATAAAATGTACGACAAGTATAGAAAATGCGTTTTGTGATATATAAAGCAACAATAACAAGAGACGCACACACACGCACACGCACGCATACACGCACGCACGCACAAAACGAACACACAAAAAAAACAATTATACAATATATGTTTAATATGAAAAACCGGGAATATTTTTTTACTACAAACATACGCAAAGAATAATGAAATTATGATTATAAAACATAATATTATTGCAAGGGGTTATGTTACACTGGTGTTTCTTTAAGTGTGTAACACCCGAGCTTTTTTCTGTTTCGGCGCTATATGACGTAATTGTGTTGGTATGCCGTTAAACCAACCAACCAACCACACAACCAACCAACAACCAACCAAACAAATAGACAAGCAAAACAAACAAACAAACATGAATACAAACATTATAAAATCCTTTACCTGTATGTAAAGCTTGAAGCTGATACTTAGTATAGCCATTCTATTATGACATGACAATTACAAAAATGTTTCTGACAATCATAATTCTTAACTTTTAACACTAAAGACCCGTTTAACTTAGGCAGCGATAGATTATTTCTCAATGAAACTTTTCCTAACCCTTAACCTGAATAAAATGTATTTTGTCCAACTTTCACGTTTGGAGCTGTTATTGGGGATAGGAAGAAAACGTGGTAGTTGGCTAGCAAACAGTGTATAGCACGCGCACTGTATCTTTCATATCTGTATGTGAAAAGCCGTATATGGTTCCTTATAAAAGAAAGCATATACATATTAAAAGGCCAAATAATATGCGGAGTTAAATCTTTATTCGGAGTGGTTATCCAGACTGTTACACAAACTGTAAAAAGACAATATTTGAAAGCAATCGATACATCTATAGAGACACTAAAATCTTTTTTCAATATAATTATGGAAATATAAAATAACTATGATCAAATTGTAATATAATCACAAACAAAAAAAGACGCTCATTTTAATCTATGAAGCATAGCATTGCTGATTTGATTTAAGTAAATACCCAGTTTATTGTTTAAAAAAAGATCTGACATAATTTGTGATTTCATTACTAAAGTCTTACGAGGGATGCCTGTCTCCCAAACTTGTGATGGCACTATTATTTTTATATAAATTGTTTGTGATATAAAACAGAATGGTTCAATCAAACGGTTGTTTAACGTAGCCGTGTTATTACGGAATATAAATGCAGCTTACACATTCAATATAAGAGAAAAATTACATATATCTTCTAATTTTCATAACAACATTATTAAGAGAGTACTTATCATTCCTGCAGTTATTCCAGATTAAACCACGACTGAATTTGGTATATCCCCCGTTCGGATATACCCCATTCAGATTCGCGCAACAACATGACTTGTACCACCAAGCTCCAATAAAGTATTGTGCACAGTTCCGGTCCGAGTCGTCATTGTCACTATCTTTGGACGTAAATTGACAATTATTATGATACGACATGGAATCACCACACGAGCCGTGATATCCTCCAACCGTCAATCTGTTATTACTCATGTTCGTCATAACGTGAGTGGTATTCAGCAAAAGCATGAAAATGGATTCATGTTGTCATTTTGGGAATGTTTCCACTTTGACGTGAAAGAGAAATGTGGCTTTTTAAGTTAATTGGATGATAATATCTTTCAAGCCCGATCCAAAAATATCGCCCACTCTGTTTCCCAAAAACCCATTTTTATAATCTTCCCCCATTTCTGTAGAAATCTTTCCGATCCGTCTGCCGTTTTGGGCGTTGTATAACTGTCCATCCACATTGGTCATATCACACGGCACACATCAAGTGGTAGTAAACTTCCGGTAAGGTTTAATGTCACATAATACCTCCCACTATTCTTGTGTAAAGCTCCAACGAAATTGACTCGGGTTTTGTGTGTTCTTTTTTTTTTTAAACCCCCTTCCCTGTAACTTTTCAGTATATTAAAAACATTATGTTATTATTCTTCCTATAAATCATTACAGAGAAATCCCTTTTAATCGGATTGATTGCATATTAGAGGTAAATAATTTTATGTGCATAATGACTTTCCCCCGCCACCCAACCGCCCACCAACCCACACCCACACACAAAACAACAACACACAAAAAAAAACTAAAACAAAAATTATTTAATAATTTTTTATTTAAAATTGGTCAAGGAATCCACTAAATATCTTTTCAATTGAGTTCTTATTATTTTTTAAATTTTTCTGTTTTGTTTTTTTAATACTAAAACCTTTTAAATTTTGGTGCTTTTAAAATTTAAATTTTTCTTTAAAACTTTCTATTAGGCATGTTTGTTTATAATGAATAATAAAAAACCTAATTTTTAATTGTCTGAAAGTTTTTTTTAAAAAATTTTCAGAATTGTGAACATTTTATTTTAATTGCAAAATTTAAACCCCAAAAAGTCTTTTTATGTTTTTTTAAATTTTTGGGGTCGCAAGGGGAAAAGGGTTCCCAAAAAATTGAAGGGGAAAAAAATTTAAATTTTTATTTAGATAAAGTAATTCACGATCAATTTAATTCTTAAATGCCACTTCAGAATTAAACATATTGAAATAAACTTTGTTTAAAAACGTTGACACGATGGTATAATGAATTTAAAAAGTACGTTTTGAGTCGAAAAAAAATTATCTAGGGTCAGTGTTACTGAAAAAAAAAACTAAAAATAAAAGCAGATTTTATTTCGGCAAGTTTAATTTTAAGAAAATACTTCGTGTTTGACAGGACGTCATTTGCGCTATTCAAACATAGGTGGTGAACGATGCCTAAATTATAAGTGTTTACGGTATAGGCGAAAATCGTGGAAAAGCATATTATTTTTACTGTAGGTACTTTTTTTTTTTTGATTTTTGATATAATTAAAATATTGTATTTTCCGCTGTATCTATATTCCCTAAAGTTTATTTGAAAAATTATTAGGCGTTCTTGCATAAATTTAAAATTTTTTTAATATGGGTAAATAAGGGGTCAAAAAGTAAAGGCGCGCGTTCCCAATAAAGCAAACCCGCCCCGATCCGCAAAGGAGCCAGTTTCCCAAAGGGGCCCAGGAGGACCCCCAAACAAAAACCCGGACAGGACAAAAGGGAAAAGCAAGTGCAGGTTTTTATTTACTAAAATCATACCCTAAGTGAAAAAATAAACAAACCCCGGGCAAAAAAATTTAGTAAAATTTAACCTTACTTTTTTCAATATCATCTATTTTAATATACAAAAGTCTTATTTTTAATAGGGGTTTACCCGAAAATTGGTTTAAGCTTGGGAAATTACCCTCATTTCTATTTTCTTTTTTGTTTTTTATAACTAAAAACAACCCCATTACGGGTTTTTTGTTTTTATTTTTAAGGGAGTCTTACCCGTTTTAAAGCTGCGTTGCCCAAGGCGATCAAAAATTCTAACAGTCGTGAGTGGACCCAATATTCGTAGTAAAATGCGTTATTTCCGGGAAATTATTTTTTTCAACATTTGTATGTAGTTTTTTTTACAAATCACTTATCCTTTATCGCTATGAACTAAATTCCGTTTATAAAATTTTAAAATTATTTATTATCAAAAATTGTAAAAAATGAAATTCCTGAAATGACGATTTGGCCAATGTTAGCTTTTTTGGCGGAAAAACATTACAGTAAGATAACTTTGTAATAAATTTCAGAAATTTCTTTTTAGAAATTGTAACAGAAAATGTAAATACAAATTCATGTTAATGAAACTTAAACTTAGAAATATTTGAAATTTATTACATACATTTACAATTATTTACACCCTCAATAAGACATCTTTAAGATGAAGTAAAAATCTGACAGCTTCATTTTCTTTTAACATCAGTACATGTCAAGATAGATACAAAGATACAGACATAATGAAGAAGGTAAGTTTAATTTAATATTTTAAAGATAAAATTAATAAGCTACAAACCGGTCCTTTATAACTTAATATACACTTGTATTTCATATTAGATGAAGTAAGATAATGTGATATAGAGATGCGTTTTAAGAACAATTCACTCCGCCCAAACCTCAACCAAGCGATACAACCGGGGTTCCGCTCAGCAAAAGAGAGATAAAGGATCACTTGGTGTCTTATTATGTCATTGGATTTAAATATAAAAAATATTATTAGATATAAAGAAAACAACAATAAGAAGATTGACACCGTTCTGTTCTTCTCTCTCAATAACAGTCGTCTGCCCTCATCCACGAGTGCTTGTTTCTGTCAATGACGAACCCAGGGCAAAAAGCAAAACATGAATAAAAAAATAGTAAGATAGATGAAAACTGCATGAATCAATATAAGAGAGCAGAAATAAGAGTGACGGTCACTAAAGAGAAACTTCTCTATCTGCGACAAAAGATGTCACCAATTCATTAAGACGCGATATATAGAAGATAGATGGATTATAATCAAAAATTCAACGTGGCATTCTAAAGAGATAATCCGTACACCAAAAAATAATAGCAATTATAAATATAGATAGAGGAGATAGTATATAAGAGCATTGAAATATATACGACTCCAAGCGAGCAAGTACTAGAGACATTTATACGAGAAATAGACAAACATTTATACATTAATTTGATAAAGAATGAACGACGGTTGGTTGCTATGGGTTTCTATTGAATAGAATATTTAACTTAAGAAATGGTAAGTTACATAACCAAAAGCAAGCAACTGAGAATTCAAAATTTTATTAATTAGATAAGTGTGATTAATTCATGGATATGAATGTTTCTGTTGTTCTAACAGGTTAATGTTAGGAGATATGTTTAGGTTGTATGAAATATTAATACAACATTACCGTCTGGGAACGGAAGTTTCTGTTGAAATTACAGTTAATTTAATATTCAAACCGCAGTTTAGTTTAAATACGAAATATATTAGTATGCTGTATCATGTGATGTTATGTAATAGTAGTATACGGACTTTTAGCCCATACAGTCTTTTAAGAAACATACAAACAACATTTGCAACAGAAATTTTTTTTTTGAACATTTAATCATATAACAATTCGTTACGCTGCAAAGTGGATTCGCATGCTTGGTGATTTAGTGATTTCACTACGATTGGGTTAACAATTGCGTCTTTAATGATATCAATACATGAATTTATTTGTTCAATACCGAGGCGTTTGCAAATTAATACAAAAATTGTCTAATATGAATTTATGTTCTAAAAGTAAAGTTATATAATATAAAAATTATTTACCTTCATGCGTATGTATGTGGTAATAAAAGCAAAAATTGAAGTCACTGAGAAAATAACAATATAACATTGAAACGGACATATGAATGTAAACACTCATCTGAAATATGTTGCTTTGACAAGAGCAATCACTGGACACATGTGTCGCCAGATGATAAGCCAATTAAGCAGTTGTATTAAGAGTTGATTGGAAGTTCTTTTCCTGTTATATCGCAGCGTTGTAACAGAGGGTGGAGTAATTTTTACGGGCATTAACTGACAGAAGCGGCTTTTCTTATTGAAGGGCCATATTCTCAGCCAACTTGAAAACCAGTTGAATATGCGCAGTTTTGTAGTACCGATCAAGTCTGTAAATGTTCACTCAAATAGCATAAGTAGTATACGAGGTGTGATCCGGACACAACTTTTAAAAAATAAAGTAACTAAGGCATAACATTGCACAGTAGATTTTATGAGTAGTTCGACAAGTGTTGTGACGGACGGACAAACACACAGACGCAGACGAGACAGATAGACAGACAGATGGAGAAATATATCACTTTTTTTCACTAGCCCTGCATATACTTTTCTCGGTTTGAATTACATTTCCAATATGGCAAAAGGGAAAATGTAAGTAGTTTATACTAAGTCTTATATCTTAGCCAAAATGTCCTGATTTGTTTTGCATGTTTTGTTATTTAAATAAAAATAGCTCCAAATTAGAACATGAAATACCCTATAAAATAATATCGTGAAACGCACGTTAACAGGTGGTTCCCAATTTGAAGCTAAGTGCTTCATACAAATATGTACAGTTAAAGATTTATCATTATTTGTAAAATTTGTTCTGTTGACATTATTGGTTTCAATTTACAATTTTTCTTACAACCTGCTGTTTTTAATACAAACGAGTTTTGCAATTCAAATGTAGTTTTTATCATTTTGATTCTACTTGAGGCACTATTATGTTTATTGTTTTTCATTGAGATTGATATGTAGTTATACAAAATATTACTTATGTTTTCTTTCCGTATTATACAACACTGACATTTCATCAGAAAAAAAAAAACTGTACTTTCAGCTAATCATTATTCTCAACACCTTTTCAAGTTTTAAAATAAATTTATTGCATAGCATTACATGTACTTAATTTTCAGACATTTAATCTAAAATATAATGAGAACCTAAAAAGTCGTGTTTCACGGACTTCAAATAATGTTTCGTTAAACATAATAGCGTTTGGTTATATGTTCCAATTCTCATTGCATACGCAAAATATTTAACATTATTCATTTTATAATTTGTACTATTAATTTAAACAGGTTGCTTTATCTGAGCATTCCGTTTTGAAGTATGCCACTTTATTAAAAGTTCAATGCTAGTCAATGTTCAAATTATAATAATACATGTTTTCAAGTCACTCAGTATAATATGGTCTAAAATTAAATGAGCACATACAAATTATAAAAATATAAATATTTAACACTTCATAGATATAACCATACTGAATGCACTTTCAGAAATTGCATCACGTGATGTTTCAAGAGAAGCCATTATTGGGTCCAACTTTTAACTCGTGTTCATTTCTAAAGTCCAAAAAGTTCATATCAAATTCATATCACACCCATTAAAGCTTAATTTTCTATTTTTAGATTCCAAAATATCCAATGCAAGTCATACTCCCTCTTGTTTTGTTTCAGTTTTAAGAGTCCAAAAATCCATATCAACTCCTTATGAAATTGAAGTAATAAACTTTTGTCAATATGTAAACAAATGGTAATGTGAGATACAGAGGTCATTAAACATGTTGAAAGCAATAATGTTAGACTCGTACATATCTGCCAAACTTATTTCAGACTCGGCTATATTTAAAAATTAAAAACGGACCCCAAATTTGTTTCTGCAAATTTTTATATTTGGGAAAAGAATTTATTTTCGCCCCTATGAAAAGCTTTTGGGGGCAGTTTTTTGGGAAAAAGCATAACAGTGATATTATCTTTTCCAAAATAAAAATTTTTTGAAAACACAGTTTTGAAACAAAAATAAATGTTTTTTTCCCAAAAGAAAATTAAAACTGAAGGTTTGCTTTGGGCTGCCCCATTTTTTAAAAGTTTTTCTCTTTTACAGGTTTAATTTTTTTAAAAATCCAGGGGCTGGAAAAAGGGTTTTATCTCCGAAAAACCCTCAAAAGAATAAGGGAAAAATGGGAAAAGGGAAAACAAAAAATATGGTTTATCCCTTTTTTAACCCTTATTTAAAAAACTTATTACATTTCCCTATTTTTTTTTCTACAGGCTAAATTTTTTAATTATTTAAAAAAACCTGTATAATTAAATACAACAACGAAATAAAAAATGTTGTCAAACATTTCTAAATGTTCATTATTGTGAAATATAGAAAATGAAAATTATAGATCATCTAAAACGGCAAAATGAAAATTAAAAACATTCCAAATAGAAAATGTTTTTTTTTAAAGAAGAATAATAATAATATATAATACATGAACTAATTCAACTAAGTATTTTGTAGAGGTTTTAATTTTTGGAGATTTTATGTAATATAGTTTTAAAATACAAATCTAAGCTGCCAATAATTAACTCTTATATGTCAAACATATAATTAGAAATGTTATAACATCTTTCTTATTTTTTTCTGTTAACAGTAGTAAGAAAATACATACATATCAACTTTGGATGTTTTATACTATTAATTGACTGTACGTAACATAATGAAAATATACGCATAATTATACATGTAGTATGCTATTTTCATTCATAATTAATATTGTCAAACGCTTCTTATTTTGAAAGCATAGTGTACTTATTCATAAACAATTATATCTTCTAATCTTTTTAAAGAGAGAACAACATACAGTAATCCTGTATATATAACCCAATTACGTCTTTACAACAACAACAACAACAACAATAACAACAACAACAACAACAAAAAAAGAAAGTATAGAATTATACAGGTATTATCTTACATTCACCTTTCAATGTTCCAATAACTAAAGAATTAGATTCAAAACAATTCACTTGTAAATACATAACCCATATATACCTTTACTAGGAAAGAAAGAAAGTGATACAAACAAAGATCATCAAAAACGGCAAAATAAAAATGTAAAGCGGCGTATTTTTCCAAATAGAAAATGTATCCCATATTATCAGAATTTGTGCATACATGCAACTATTTTTTTCACATATTTCTCATTTTTATATCATAACACGGGTATATTGGAATTAATCATGCGTTTTTATTAAATTATTCCGAAAATATACAAGCATGTACGCAATATAAGACTTAGATCCAATGTTTAATATGTTCTGATACGTTTGATTTAGACATGTTATCTACTTATCTTGTCGACTGTTAATAAGAAAGTTGTTATCAGAAAAAAATGTCTTAAAACAGAAAGGTAGTTATTATATAATCCTAACATTTTTGTTTAAACCGTACGTTTTCCGGTTTTCCGGCGTATCTTCATAACGCTACGTTTAATCGAATATTCTTGCCACGTTGACCAAATGATACCTTTGTATTCTGTGTTAGAACCTCCCAAATATAGCCCTTTTGAATTACATGCATGACGAGTTCTGTACCACCAAGCTCAATTGTATTTAACGGCACAATTTCGCTACCTCTTTCGTCATTATCATTATCGAATGTAGAGAAACCCCAACCGTTATGAACGGCCCAAGAATCCGCACAGTTACCAGTATATCCTGAAACTGACAACAAGTATTTGTCAGTCTCGTCATTGACCTTAGATGTGGAATATTTGGCAAAAGCTGATGCGGGTGCAAAATTATCATGTCAAACGTTTCCATTTCTATATAAAGTTCACTGCCAATTGTTGTTAATATGTTAATGTATTTAAGACCTAGGTTTTACTCTCCTATTATTGTACCAACTCCATCCACGTATTCATCCCAATCTTTATAAAAGTCTACAGATCCACCTTGGCGGCGTTGAATTAATCTCCATTCACCATTGGACATGTCACACCACACGTCAATATTTACACCTTCAGTCGGTTGAGTAACATAGACACCGTATTCGACATAGCTCATCTCATAAAGGGATAAACAGTCTAAGACGCTTGGTTGGCGATGTATTTTCTTGTACAATCCATATGTTGTCTACGAAAGAGAAAACACGACCAGATTATGTTCAAAATGTTTTGGAATACTTTTACGTTCCTTAAAATTTACTATTACCTTTGTTCGATATGTCATTTTACAATTTGATTAAGACTGTTCTATAAAGACATTGATAAACTTATCAGTCTAATATCAAAGATGAAACCTTAAAATATAAATGTGATGTTTTAAAAGAATATTTTAACGAACCTGTAAATATGAAGTAAAAACGCTGGTTTTCTTTAGTCTATATACGATGCCTATGTTTTGAACAGAGTTTGCAGTATCTTTCGTACTTGCAAATTCTTCTACGTTGCAAAGGCACGTTTCATTGATTTAAATATAGAAAAATGCAACGCATTTCTGTTCTTTACAATGAAAGTTAAAAAGGATACCCTATGAGGTATAGTGACAAGTTTATTCCTTTGTGGTATTTCCGTTACATATGCCACATCATACATAACAATTTCACCAGATTTTGTCCTTTCTTTACTAAAACTGAGTCCAATCAGAGTATTAAGAACGATGTTACTCACAATCCAAAATGCCATCATGATATTTTTTTCCAGTGTCAGAACCAATTAAATATTGCTGTTAAAAGTTTTGAGTTTTCTATGCTTAAAGAACAACTTGTCTTAAAACAGAGGAATGTCTGTAGTCTTATAGGCCAGACTGATCATTAGAATTCAGATGAACTGGTTGAATAAAAAAGGCGTGAGCGTATACAATAACGTAACGCTGTCTGTTCAAGTTGGTTAATAACATCATGTGTAGGAGTTCGCCCGATTCTTGTTATTAATATCAAGAAATTAATCTGTTACTTTATTATTTTTTCCGTTGTTTATGGACGTGCGAGTATTTGAATGATACCGTGATTGGTTTTTATCTTTCTTGCTAAACAATCAGGCATTCCGTCTGCAATGAATATAAATGCTCTCATATATAATATCTTCGTTAATTCTATATTATTGTGCGTTATGCAATCAATTAATTTGACAGCAACATAATTTAAGTCCGTTAAAAAACCATTATCAATTAGTAGTTCAATTATACGAGCTTACAATATTTATTCTTGACAAGACTTGAACAATATCATCACAGATAATTGCATAAATACAGACTGAACACAATTCATTTTAACGTATTTTCTGAACAATTAATGCATGCTGAATTATTATAGTTTATTTGACTGTTATAAACCAATACCATGATTTAATGTTTGAAAATATGTTTTATTTCATAACGTGCAATAATCAAAAAGAGACATTTAACGTATTCAAGCATGAATGATCACTTGCTGCCAATGGATAAATCCGCCTTTTGTCCATTCATAGGACAAATCATTTTTATGATCATTTATGGGATAAACTTTCTTTGTGATCATCCACTGGAAAAATCCTCCTTATGATCACTCATAGGATAAATTTCTATGGATGATAATTCATAGAAAAAACCCTCCTTATCTTATGGTCATCCGTAGAATAAACCCTTCCTTATCCTTTAATCCTTTGGGATAAACCTCTTTGAGGCAAATTCATAGGAAAAATCTTTTTTAAATGACTTCAAATAAGGGAAAAAAATTCCCCTTATTTTTATCCATAAGTGAACCCCCCAAAATAAAATCATCCTATAATTAAACCACATTATGATAATTCGTAGGATAAATCCATATTATGATAATTCATTGTATACACCCTTTTTATGTTCATCCATGCTCCTTGCCGAACCTGAACTGTTACAAAGTCAAAAATCATCAAATTTATTTTGGAGCAATAACGTAATCGGAGTAAATATAGATCTACGTGTAAATATAATATGTAAATGCTGTTTGAAACAATTAGATAAACGGATTATTCTGTTTAAACATTATAATCAATAACATGTACCGCTGTATGCTGTATAAGTTTGTATTTTCATGGTGTGGAAATTTATTATTTTCCTTCAAAAATGTATTTTATTTAAAACAAGTAATAATGATTGATTTCAAAAAAGAGAAAAACAGAACCTCTAAAAAACGCAAGAAACGATAATATTGAAAATGGTGTGTATGGACCTAACCATCTAGTTTAATTCTGAAATGTACTTCCAACAGAACTTATACTCGTAATGCAATCCAAATGACATTGTGAAATCATGAAGATTCATATATTGTTGACTTCTGCAAGAAAAAGATTCATTTACCTGATTGACCAAGGAACACTGTATAGACATTCTGCAAATTAAGCGGGTAGAAATGTTAAACTTACCTTTATGTAAAGCAGAAAACTGACTTACTCTTTATTTTTCCTCTGTTGCAGACGTCTAATGACAGACATCTTTGAAATCTGTCACTTCATATTTTATATTGAAGATTTCTTATTGTATAAATCAATTTAAGACAAATTCACTTCAAGAACTTTATTTATGTAAAGTTTATGTTTGAATGTATAAGGTCGCAAGTCTTTAAGTATTCACTACATGTTCCTGTTTATTAACGATTTTCGTATGCAGATTTTATATCAGATTTCAATATGGCCCTCATTGAAATCCTAGATTTATTATTCTGAAATTCGGCCGTCCGTCCGTTGGAGGAATTCCGGATTTCTGGACTTTCATTAGTGGATTTCAAAAAAAATCGAACTTTAAATAAAAAGGTCCCGAATCAAAATTTTCCCTTACGGTTTGAATAAATAAAATTTTAAAAAACCCCTTAAAAAAATTTCCAAAAGGAATTAAAATCTTTTAAAAGGTCGTCGGTATCCAAAAACTGTAAGTAAGTTTTTTAAAACCATTTTTTATTAATTTTCTAGGGAAATGTCTTCCCAAAAATTTTTTATAAGACTTAGAAAAATGTATAAAAAAATTGGGATTTAATTTTTCCCTTCCCCGGTTAAAGTTTCCCTTGAGGTCGGTTTTTTTTTGAGCCAAAATTTGTTAAAAATTTGGTAAGCAAAAAACAATTACCGGGTTTATGGGCCCCCAGCACCGGTTTAAAACAAAATCTACATTTAAACATGAACATGGTGAAATTTTGATTTTAGAAACATCCGCAGAAACTTAAGTTTGCTGCAAGTATGCCATTTTATGCCCCATTTCAGCACCGTTTTTTTTCTTCAGGTGCATAACATTTCATTATACATTATAAGAACTTTTTAAAACACCTGTTTACACTTTATAACAAAAAGAAATTCTTTTCAATCATGGGATGTAATGTGCCGTCAGAACAATGTGCCGTCAGAATAAAAGTTTTAAAATAAATCTGTTTTTTTTACTAATTCATGGGATATATGTAATGCTGATACTGTTAGGTAAGGACAGGACGTAAGTACTTTTGCTCATTACGAATACAATGCTTGCCTCACTTCCCTACTCTGTGTTGTATATTTAGGCTTTTTTTAAACATATTTGATTCCGAATGTTGGTATCAAACAGTTGACACAGTATAGATCTATGTTCCTTTAAAATACAAATAGGATTACAAATCAGAAAACTTATTTTTGCCGAGCGGATAATGAGCAAGAAGCAAATGATCCGGACATCTTAGCAAAATTGTAAAAAAGCAATCTGCGGTAATGAAACCAAAATATCATAAATTAGCAGCCAAAGAGAAATTTAAAAGCACATAAATACCCTTAAAGTGATTAAACAGTGTGCAATTTAGGAATACCGACACCGGTCAAGTAGGAAAATGTCAAATAGACAGAAATACACATACAACAAACAATCAATAATGCCGCGTTGAACAATTACAATAGATCAGAAAAATAACATCTTTTGAGTGGATGTACGGGACGACGTTTATGGCCTCCACATTACTAGTCGATCCCGCGCCTTAAAAAACACTTCATACATTTAAGTTTTTGAAATAAAATGTATATAAATAAGATTATTAATTTTACTGTAATAAAGGAACAAATACCTAAAACGAATCGTTTCCGGGAAGACGACAGATTTATGTGTCCTATAGACATGTATTGAGTTTACAGTACGTTAGGAAATCGACGTTTTTAAACTTTGGACAAGTACAGAAAACTCAATTAATAATTCTATCATCGAATGTAATAAATAGGAGAGAGTACAAGTTAGTTTTATTATGCGCTTTAAAACAATGCTTCTATTAATGCAAGATAAAATCGAAGAAACACGGCAACCATTGTTAATCCTGCTATTACCTGTGATCTTATTGTCCTTATGGTTTTGAACTTTATTCAATTTACATAATTAAAGTGTAGCTATATAAGCTACAACAACACAACTACAAAATGGCAATATTTGTCTTCCGAGTGCTATCATGTGTGTTGAAAAGTAAAGCTTTTAAATTATTTATTGAACACTTAGCTAAAACCTTTAAGTATAAAAATAAATGTTTTGTAAATATCAAATTCACGTTGAGAGAACACGCTTTCCATTTCTTTGAGACCATAAGCCGCTTTTCTAGGAATGGCACGAGAGAGTCGCATTGAAGGTTACATGATAACTGTCGTATGAACACATCTGCGAATCTTAATTCAACAATTCAGTATTTTCATGTTTTCATCTTGAATTGTGCTTAAGCCGGTGCCAGAGGCGTGGACAGAAGTTTGCACTTGACAGAACCGTTCACGAACAAGCTCAATCAAACCGAGCCCACACCATTTTCAATTTTGTTCATTTTGACTTTCTATAGGGATTTGAACGATCGAAAAGTCGATACAGAAGATAGGGTAAAAACAGAAAATTAATAAGAATAAGCATTTAAATATAATACCATATTGTGACGCATCTTGGGATATGATGTATCTATCTTGGGTATGATGTGTCTGTAATATGTGTCCGGAATTATTCAATTCAGTTGAAGATTTCACCAATGTGAATTGATGATTTTTTTCAAAAAGTTTTTATGCCACATTCCAATCACCTACTTTTACCGATAATCCTCAGATATGCGTTAGAATTTGTTACGGTAAGTCTGCCAAGATGAACACTAAAGAGGATCTTGTTGATTAGAGCCAATCGAAATCACGCTGCCATTTTCCCTTTCTTTTAAGTTTTACTTACCATCGGATTTACACCATGACAATATGTAAAGTTTGCATCTACTTATTTATTTAATTATGTATTTGCATAATATGTTCGGTGCTTTTCGCTTACAGTTCTATAAGCGCTTTGATTGAATTCGCAAGTTGATTACTTGTTACAATGTTCTGTATCTAATGAAATATATTACGTGCTGAATCCAAAGTAAGTCATTAATTTTTGATGATGGTCTTTTGTTGGAATTAACAGGTGTAGAGTAAAAAAGATTGAATCGATTTTAAGGTAGACTTTCTCATTTATGTCACAAATACTTTGGTCAATATGGAGTGTCAATCGATTAATTAACAAAAAGCATGGTCATTTTATTGATAAGTACTGATTTACTTTTGACAAAATAAGCAAATATTAGGAAGTGGTGGTGGTGGTTGATAGTTTTCACTCCGGATTACGGCAGCTTACCACATTAAATTTACCAGAGCTCCGTTCAGCAACCGCATCTTAACTGGGCAGGCTGTCAAGCAATTTCCCAGTACTACTTGCCTCCATTGTCGCAAGGAACTGATAACTTATGTACATGCTAGAGCAGAGGTACAGTGCGAATGACCATAGAAATGATTTCATGATCAATCAACAGGAAAGATGCACGGAAAACGAACCTGGGTCGCACGATATACAGTTCAACGCTTTTCTTATTGGGCTAACCGGCACTTTCTACGGAAGTTGACACTGGCTCATGCTTTTTTGATTTTTTTTGATAACATGATCTCTTTATCTGCTATATTCAATGTAATTTTAAAGCACAATCCTGGAGGAATACATAGTATAACCGTAATTCAAATTTGCCTTGTTGATGTTGTTTTTGGTTATTTTTAGCTTTAGATGAAAGAGACTGCTAGGACTGAAATATTTTTCTTTCTTCCGAGGACTTAATTACCATTTAATTAAGTGTTGGTCCAAATTTTCAGACTATTATTTCAAGAATACATGCGTTTTTATTGTACAACGCTTTTTACTGAAAGTGAGACGTTTCTTGATATAAACGGCTACTTGTATGGTAACTATATTAATTGTTGTACATATTTTAATTAATAATACCACCTTTATTGCCATCTTGGTCTGAAATTTGGTTTCCAGAAAAGGCAAAAGATAGATATTGACATTGTATCAAGTTCTATGACAAATGCATTGAACTTAGACATACCAACTCCTAGTATGTATAACCAGGGAGATTTGGGTCGTTTGCCACTGATTTGCAATAGAAAATTGCTTCTTTAATGTATCAAGTACTGACACAGGATTCTCAATATGAAAACAGATAACCTAAGTAATACTACGAAGTAAAATATTGTTATGAAGTTTAATATTGTTATGAAGTTAATATCGTTTTGCAGAACAAAACATTGAATGCTTTGCGTTTTATATTCGACATGTACCTTTTTACAAATGTACATGTATTTCATCATGAATGATTTAACCAGGACTTCTTCCTGTGCTGTGAATTATCACATATATTGCGTGATGTTTTTGTACATGGCGAATGCCTCTTGCTTTATTTGTTGTATTAGCAAGTCTAAAACTGACTTTATTACAAAAATATACAGAGAGCAAATATATTTCTGGCCACTTGTTATATGTATAAATAAATGAATAAATAAATAAATAAATGAAAAAAAAAATAAATAAAAAAACACACACAAAAAAAAAAACGTTTTAAGGTATACAAATATAATGTGCCTTCAGTTATTGATAATACACTATAATTCTATAATTGTCTTTTAGAACTCATACGTTTCTACGTATTTTCATGACAACGTCTTTTAACGAATATCGTTGTCCCCAACATCTATACCAAGTGATACCTTTGCCAAACTCTGAGCCAGCACCTCCCAAGTACAAACCATTTAAATGGGATTCATGACAGTTTGTATACCACCAACCTCCATGGAACATAACGGCACAATTATCACCACCTCTCAAGTCATTATCATTATCGAATGTAGTGAATCTTACACCGTTATGAGCATTTAAACAATCAAAACAGTTTCCGTAAAATCCTGCAACTGTCAACCTATATTTATCAGTTTCGTCATTAACCTTAAATGTGGAATATTCGGCAAAAGCTGATGCGGGTGATACATTATCATGTTCAAACGTTTCCATTTCTATATAAAGTGCACTCCCAATTGTAGTTAATATGTTTATGTACTTAAGACCAAGCCAGTACTCGCCTGTTGTGTTCCCGAAGCCATTTACATATTCATCCCAATTTCTATAAAAGTTTTCAGATCCATCCTGACGGCGTTGAATTACTGTCCATCCACCATTTGACATGTCACACCACACCTCAATATCAACACCTTCCTTCGGTTGAATAACATACACACCGTCTTCAGCATAGCCAAGCTCATATAGGGATAAACAGTCAGAAACGCCTGGTAGACGATGTATTTTCTTGTTTAACTTTTCGGATGTCTGCAAAAGTAAATTATGGTACAAATATTTATCGTCAGTCATTTTCAATTAAGAAAATATATAAACGAGGATGGGTCAACATGTAGTGTTATATGGTTAAAAAAATAACAAACGAGCAGATATTTTACCATTGTCTATTTCAACACAAAAAATCTCCTATTCCAGAAATTCAAAGTTTTATCCATTTAATCCAATTTTAAATGCGTCAACGAAGTCCTCCTTAAGTATACTTTTAAATAACTGAAAGGTTGCCAACCTAAGTCCATTTAAACTCTTGTAGTGATGACCTGCAGGATGTTTGTTCAGTCTATGAGACAGGAAAACATCACAGAGTGACATGTTTGGAGAATACGAAGGACAGTTACGGAAAAGGAAAATAATTAAGTGCTACTTTGTGGTGCTACTTTGTGTGCAAGAGCGTTGTAATTGCAGAAAGTACATACGTTTCAAAACAGTCAAAGTATGCAATTTCTTGAAAAGTTTTTGCATTTCTGTTTAAACGACATCTCTTGGCAGATCGACTTCTAAAAACAGGACTTTAAACACAATTTCACAGATAATTAATAGAGTATATAACTTTCAAGATACTTGTCAATCGCTTTTCAATGCATGATCAACGAATATTTTTCACTGGAAAACTGACGTAACAGGCGTAAAAACTATGTGCCCCCGCTTTAGCTACGAGTATCAATATGTGCCCAGGTGATCGCATTAGGTGTCAAAATGAAATCGTTTACTTGGCCACGCGAAAGATATGACTTATATGTAAGTATATTACGAAAGTGTGCTCGTAAAACCTATTGCGTGTCCACGTTATGGCTTTAGATGCACATGTAATAGTTTCCGAGTGACCGCATGCTACTTATTGTGTGCTCAGATAGTACATAAAAGATTTCCTATGTGTCCACTTTTACTTACTCTTGAAAATCAAGTGTTTTTACTTTTTTTAAATATAATTCAAATAAGATATAAATTTGATTATTTACCGCAGTTTTTTCAATTTTATTATCATCGTCATTAATCGTTTTCAAAGTGGTATCTAAGAAATTGATCTCATTCTTAAAAGTTATCATTATATTAAATATGGTGATTTAAAATGCTTTTAGTAACATAATATTGATTGATGTTTAATTTATTTTGTGAATTTTCCATGGCATGACAAATAAATAACATTGCTGTTTTATATAGATTAATACCTACGCAATGAAAAGCAAAACAAAAAGTACCTGCACATATGATGTCAAAACAGTAGTTTCCCTCACTCCATAAACTAGACCTGTGTTTTCATCAGAACTTGCATATTCTACATTATTTGTATATTCTTCAGAGCCACAAAGACATATTTTATTGCTCTCGATGTAGATAATGCAGCGTATTTCCATTCCATACAATGGAATTTACACGCTGGAAAGGCTATACCTTGCGACATACTAACAAGGCTATTACTTTTTTGTATCTCATTTATATATGACCAACTTTAACATCACTGTTTCGCTGGAATGTGTCCATTCTTCGCATAAATCCAATCTGTGTTTGTCCCAAAATGACAATAACAAATAACCGAAATAAGCTTAATGTCATATTGTACTATTTTTTTTTCTTAAAAATATATTTTCCTCTTTCTTTCAAATACCTTTTTTTGGCTTCATAAAAATGACAATACAAATCCAGAGATGAATTGCAGAATGGTGTCACTAAATGAAATATATTTGTTTATAAAATAAGATGTTTATTACTTGTATGATGCATTGAAAATGAATTTTTGTTTTTTCCATCCAAGGTGGGGATATAAATGATTAAAATAAATGAGTGAACTCAGAAAGAAAGGAGAAATTTCTTTCAGCAACACTAACCGTGTCATTAGATATGAATTTAGATGACTTCATAAATATGTTATTTCTTACTTTTATATTCATAGTAAAAACTCATTTAATCAGACTACATTGTTTGTTTTAAATTATTTTGTTTCTAGTAATTGTATAAGTAACTTTCAGAGTACTAATGGAAGTAATAGAGGAAGGTGTATGTGTTTTCATTAAAATTTATTTAATGTTAATATATTTATAACAATATATTCACAAGAGCTTATGATAATTTCTGGATTTTATTTGTATTTTTATTTTAATAACGTCAATGATATGTTTATAATATTTTTGTATAATTCACCACATGGCTCTTATTTATATTTAACCAGTAAATAAGTTGGTATTCAATTATTATGATTACCACACACAACTACTATAAGTGATAAACCTGTCTATTGATATTGCTTGTGACTGTAATGTTAGGACTAAAATCATTCTTGATTTAATCCCCGGTTAGGCAAGTAAACATGTTAAATAACATTATTGGTGATGTGCATATATTAAAAATTGTAAAATAAATACTTTGAATATTCCTAGGCAAACCAATCGAAGGTTGCAAGTCTAATAATCTTTATGGCAATCGTTTGGTAAAATTCTGTTGTGCTTTTGATATTTAATTTTTTAAATACTCGGTAAATCGATATTATGATGGTATTAATAGAATGTTATATAACATGTTCCGCGAGCAGATGGTATTGTAAGTTGAATATAACATAGTAGCTAAAGTAAATTACTTGTTTGTTAATGGATGTTTCATATTTTTGTATAATGGATAGAGATGAGACTGTCGGGACCACTTTACACCTAAACTGTACATATAATCACTTCTATTTGCACTAACGGGTATACAGAGAAATGCATGTATACCATCCCGGACAAAGTTATAGATTCTAGGATAGGTTTAAGTAGAAAGATGAAGGAAACATTCGTTTGTTGAAGTACGATATGCGATTGTCGACATTATAAATTCGATGTATGTCAGACAATACAAGATACTTCAAAAGACTGTTTTTTTTATTTCGTAATTTAGTAAAATGAAAATAGTCTTTTAAAGTATTAAACCGCTCCTCTTCTTCCCATATATAAAGGCAATGTCTTTTCGGTTTTACGGAATGTTATTTCGTATTTACAAATATTATTTCGATTTGATAAAATACATTTTGTTTCTACACATTGACATTTCGCTTTTTATTTAGCTCTACTATTCGACAATTACCAATATGTTTCCTACGTATGAAATCGTCGTTGTTTTAGATTGTGATGCTGAAAGCTGGTTACACTATTTTAACACTGATTTGCAAGTGTAACAATAAAATTTCGGAACCAGAAATGTTCATCGATCATGTATTTGCGAATTGACAAGTGTCAAGTTATGTATGTAGTACTATGTTCTTCGTTCTCGAAATTTCCAGTTTCTAGTTGCAATCACATCCAAATATCATGATAGATATTCGTGTTAAGATAAATTGAAAAACTCATCTAATGAAAGTAATTACGATACGTCTTCTTCGACTGGTATAAAAGGCGCTGTATTTTCTGAGCATGAAAAGCCGCTATTGCACACAAAAGAGGTACAGTAGGGGAACGGGTGGCCGTTCTAAACTTAGCACTGTATTCTAACTGAACATGGCTCACTGAATACCAATTTTTTTGTTCACTGTTTTGTAGACTGAACAAAAACACATTTAATGCAAAGTCATAGTTCGTTTTATTAAATTTATATAACCTCATCTCGGACACCCCCTTACAATCACTACACAACCCAGCCTTGTGAGTTCCAGTTTATTATCTTTTGAGCATCTTGTTTTTAAAATTTGCGCTTCTGTTATAATGTTTATTTCATAATTTTGTGTTTGACAGGTGTATTTGTGGTGGTTTTATACCAGAGAGGCCTATCTTGTCGATCAAAACAGAATCCACCTGTGGTACTTTTAATAATTATGCTATGCTTAAACATAAATGGGATGGTGTTTTAATGATTTGACGTAATTATGAAAATGTAATTTATTTCAATATACTTTTATTTGCTTCCATCGGGAATATCTTTGTAATTAAAATTTATAGTTGAATTGTTAATTTGTTCTAACGGAGTGTTTGTTTTGGCAATCCTTCCATCTTGGAAGGCCATGGTGACTTTGTTAATATTGCATGAGTTGTATAACAAGAATGAATACAACAGAGCAAAAATAGAAATTTTCGGCTGATGTGGTTGCTCGTCTAATCCATAGACATCTAATTGCTGAGATCCGAGCTAGCTGAATAAAACTAACACCGAATTCCGTTCGTATAAACAGGTAAGTCAAACATGACAACTACTTTGACCAGAGAGAAGCCTTAAATATTTACTAAAATTACTTCTTTAAAGGTTACTCAGTCTACTAAACACTACTGTTATCACAATCAGAAACAAGAGGCGTAAGAAACGCAGGTATATAATTACAAGTACTGGTTGGTTCAAAACATAACGCCTAAACGACTAATCAAACATGGACAACGATAAAACGTTTGTTGGCCATTGTTCTAACTGACCACAACACTTGTGCGCTAAGTTTCTCTTTTCAACATATCACGTTTTTGAGGTACTAGACAAAGCTTAAAGAACCATAATAATTTGCATACGTCATTGTGGATTGCATTGCAGCTTGAAAACGACATCTAAACTGTTGTATTTCTTATGAACGTGATTGTCAGTTACGAAATTAAAACGACCCCTTATTGCATAGTACGTATTCGTCATTGAATTCAAATATAAAATATTGCCAAATGAATAGAGCTTAACAATCATTTCCCAATAGTTATAACAGTTTCGGAGCAGTAATCGGCTTGTTCACAACAGCTCAGTGGTTTTTTGTTTCCGGTTTTTCCTAATTCTTTCATGTGCGGATAAAGCAACGATTTGCCTTTGCCGATAGGAATGATTTCGTTACCATCAATAATATCCTGGATTCTATGATTTAATCATATGCTAGGAATATTCAAAAAATGTTATAAATCTACATAGCTTAGTTTTATTTTTTTTGACATAAACATGTTTATATATTCATCCCGACTGAATTAATTTGTGTTTCAAGATTAAGAATAGAAAAGAAATGTACACAATGACAATATTTGCACCCACATGTTCTTTTTCTAAGCTAATATCAATTTTTTTTCTTTCAGTGAAAAACTTTCTGTAAT